CACTACCACCCACCATTACACCTATGAAAACCGCCCATCCGCCTCACCTCCGCGTCCCACATGCGGATAATGCAGTCCTCCCCCGCGCCTATGAGCGTCTGGTTGAGTGGGCCCCACACACAGCGCATGATTCGGCCCTGGGGGCCTGTGATGTGCAGCACCGACTCCTCCTCCTCTGATGGTGAGAGAAGGGGAAGAGGAGATACATAGAGAAGGACACAATCACTTCATGATTCGGCCCTGGGGGCCCGTGATGTGCAGCACCGACTCCTACTCCTCTGATGGTGAGAATCAACGGGAGGGAATGGGAGGGGAGGGAATGGGGAGAGCACTGAATGCACAGCACAGAGAAGAGGCGGGCGCGGCATTGAGTGGGCCCCACACACAGCGCATGATTCGACCCTGGGGGCCTGTGATGTGCAGCACCGACTCCTCCTCCTCTGATGGTGAGAGAAGGGGAAGGGGAGATACATAGAGAAGGACACAATCAATTCATGATTCGGCCCTGGGGGCCTGTGATGTGCAACACCGACTCCTCCTCCTCTGATGGTGAGAGAAGGGGAAGGGGAGATACATAGAGAAGGACACAATCAATTCATGATTCGGCCCTGGGGGCCTGTGATGTGCAGCACCGACTCCTCCTCCTCTGATGGTGAGAGAAGGGGAAGGGGAGATACATAGAGAAGGACACAATCACTTCATGATTCGGCCCTGGGGGCCTGTGATGTGCAGCACCGACTCCTCCTCCTCTGATGGTGAGAATCAACGGGAGGGAATGGGAGGGGAGGGAATGGGGAGAGCACTGAATGCACAGCACAGAGAAGAGGCGGGCGCGGCATTGAGTGGGGCCCACACACAGCGCATGATTCGACCCTGGGGGCCTGTGATGTGCAGCACCGACTCCTCCTCCTCTGAAGTTATAGGAGCGAAGGGAACATCGAAGAGAAGGGAACGGAGAGATCACTGGATGCCCAGCACTGAGAAGAGGCAAACGCAGCATTGAGGGGGCGCAACACACAGCATGAGTGATTCGGCCCTGGGGACCTGTGATGTGCAACACCGACTCCTCCTCCTCTGAAGATAACAGAAGGGAAGGAAAGATAGTTGGAAGAGACAACACAGAGGGGAGGCAGGGGCAAGATATTGAGTGGGCCCTACACACAGCGCATGATTTGGCTCTGGGGGCCGTGATATGCAGCACCGACTCCTCCTCCTCTGAAGTTATAGGAGCGAAGGGAACATAGAAGGGAGAAGTGATAGTACTCACGCTCTCGGCTGCCTTCCTTGATCCGCTTGACGTGAATGGCCGGCACGCTGCCCATAAAAGGGTCCACCGTGATCGCCGCGAGCTGCTCTCCCTCCGCGAGCGCGACAGAGCACATGTGCTTACGGTGCTATACTTACGTTCTCGGCTGCCCTCCTTGATGCGCTTCACACGAATGGCCGGCACGCTCCCCATAAAAGGATCCACCGTGATCGCCGCAAGCTGCTCTCCCTCCGCGAGCGCGACGGAGCACATGGGCTTACCTTACGGTGCTGTACTTACGCTCTCGGCTGCCCTCCTTGATCCGCTTCACGTGAATGGCCGGCACGCTCCCCATAAAAGGATCCACCGTGATCGCCGCAAGCTGCTCTCCCTCCGCGAGCGCGACGGAGCACATGGGCTTACCTTACGGTGCTGTACTTACGCTCTCGGTTGCCCTCCTTGATCCGCTTCACGTGAATGGCCGGCACGCTCCCCATAAAAGGATCCACCGTGATCTCCGCAAGCTGCTCTCCCTCCGCGAGCGCGACGGAGCACATGGGCTTACCTTATGGTGCTGTACTTACGCTCTCGGCTGCCCTCCTTGATCCGCTTCACGTGGATGGCCGGCACGCTCCCCATAAAGGGATCCACCGTGATCGCCGCGAGCTGTTCCCCCTCCGCGAGCGCGACAGAGCGCGCAGGGCCGTCCATGGAGAAGGTGTAGTACGGCGTTCCCGTCTCCACCTCCCACAGCTTCACGCTCTGATCCGCGGACGCCGTTATAAGCATCTTGGAGTCGCCTGTAACGGGGATAGAAGATTTGGAAAAATGAGGAGGCATGCACGAAAAGAGGGACGGAGAAGGTAGGGCGAAAAGGATGAAGGAAGAGGGATGGGGTAAGAGGGACAGGGGAGGATGGAAGGTGACGTAGAGCAAGAGCGCAGTACGAGAAAGGTAAAAGCTCGACCTGTGAGGCCCATTAGGTCGTAATCCTAAATATTAAGTGACACGCGACAACCGACTACGTGTGAAAGGAGCGGGAATAATCACGGCCAGAATAGAATCGCTCGACAGGCCACCAGGCAGGAACCCTGATTAAACCCTCGTGTGGACAGCTATTACCGTGCTGGCGCACGTTCTTACTGGCTAGGATTTGAATCAGCTGACTCGATCAGCCCTGAATATAAATAACCTAGAACCTAGGGCCTAATGCAAGTGAACAAAGGATGGCCTAAGCGCCAGTTTAAAAGATAATGGAATCAGCTAGACGGCTCCATTTCCGAGTAAAACACGGTGACTTCCTCGAAACCTGCACAGTGCGATAAACGCTATCGTAATTGACGAATTTTGTACTATTCTCGATAAGAAAGCCGTAACGGACAACTAACGAGACCTAACGAGACCTAGCCAATAACCAAAACCTAGCCCGATAGCTCGTCAAGACCTTGCACTGAACGTTAATTAGTCTAATAACCTTATCAGTCACGAGAAGTTCGGTCCAAACATTGGCCTGATCGCTATAATGGCTGAAGGCCTTCCTAATCCTCCACGACAGCCGTCACTGCTCAGACAGATTCGCTACGTCCTTTGTACGTGCCGAGGCACTGGCAACAACCCTCTCGAGTCTATCCGGCAGTCGTGCTTAGCCTCACTTCACATCGACGATCACTAGAAGTCACTGGAATTCCGAGGATTCGACGTCGGAGCACTCACGTGAGACGTCGCACGTCCACACGGCTCCGTTGTGGCCCTTGTACGTGCCGACGCGCTCGCCGTTATCCGTGTACCACACGGTGGGCTGGTGGTCCTTGGCGCACGAGAACAGCAGATCGCCGTCGCGATTGTACTTGAGGAACGTCAGCGGCCTCTCATGACCCTTCATCAGCTGCGGCCTCATCTTTCCCGCGGGTACTTAATCAAGTAAAAACTCCTTAATTAGTATAGGAGGTGGACGGCTATGGCGGTCTAGACTATTCAGCTAGACGGCTATGAGTTGAGCTGGCCGTGTGTGAAAGCTGGAGGAAGAACAAGGACGGACGGAACGGGACGAAATGTAGTCCCGCAGATGTGCAGGAGAGAAAGAGCAGATAGGAGAGGTAGCAGGGCTTTATGTAGGAGGAATTTACCTCAGCGTTTGGTTACCAGGCTGCTTATTTTGTCGTGATAAGGTTTTTTATGGTTCGGCCAGGTGCGGTATGGTTGGAAAGGGTGAAGCGCGTGAATCATTCTCTCAGCTCAACATCCGCTGAGAGAGGCCAGTGGGATGGTCTGATATGCGAACAGCGGGGTTCAGAATGGCTGAGAGCTAATCACAGCACTAGCAAAAATACTTATCACAACTAGATAGAGAGATTTAGGCACTTTTCTTTCCTTATCAATCACCCAACCTAAGGTTTCTATTTCACCTTGCTTAATACACGGATCATAAGGAAACCCCCTGTTTCCCCACTCACCGCAAAATGAATTTTAGCCCCCTCCCCTCACTCGCCCAAGGCCAAGGGGTTTCAACAATTATTATGAACTGAAGCTGTATTCATGAAGTTGCATAACATTTCTTCTTATTACGGTAGGTTTGCCAACCAGTGTGAGTTCTTTGAAGAATACCTTCTGTTTATAGCAGGGATTTGCAACGACAGGCTGGTTCGGCGCTTGCCTAGCGCAGTAGGTTGGCCAAAGTTAGGGCCATACCTAGCGGGCCTTCAGGCCTATCACTGGCTCTCAGTGGCTTCCGGTGCCGAAACCGAAACCTGCCAGAGGCAGGTTTGCCAAACAGACGCGACCGCAGGTGTGTCAGTGAACCGAACCAGCCACCAGACCAGAGCTCCAACTTCAAGCCAAGCCTCTCCTCTTTTGGCGCAAACCTGATACAGCTGATGCTCACCTAATCCCATTGCATTTGCCCGGCCCATTTTCAAACGTGCATTTGAGCACGGGCAACGGCCCTTCATGTACAGTGTCAATCAGTAGATCTTAGCCGTAGATCGAACTGCTTATCACGCTGTCAGCCGTCCCTTCGCCAGATATTTTCAAATTGTTACATGGTTTTTCGCTACCCTGTCCACTTGCCCCTTACAGTCCCATTTTTTTCCCGTGGCGACGTAGGCGAGGTAGGCGAAGTGCATGTGCTCAATCCCGGCCCTTTGATAAGGCGAAGTTGGCGTTCTTCTAATGGGCATCAGCTGTATTGTATTCTTCTCACTGCAATCCTCCTGACCTCCCTGCACATCTGATTCCTCATGGGGTGCCTGATAAAAAGCTAGAGAGAAGTTGCAAGATTACCATTCTTTCAAGAATCACGGATTTTGCAGCTCCAATCGCTGAAGGTGTTTCATAGTAGTTCTGTCTCGACTCAGCTATTCGCGTGTGTAAGAGTGACGATCAGTAAGTAGTGCTGAAGAGCAGGTTCTTGACGCGTATGACGGACTGCTGTCAGAGTTGTCGGAATAGGTATGTAGTTACCGCTAATCGGATCGCGTAGACCATTCGCACACGCTGATTGCGCATTCTGTTGCGAAAATAGGTTCTTATGGCGAATGCCGTTCTTACGAGGAAGCAGAACGTGACGATCAGTCCTAGCATGAGCAAGAATCAATCTTGGCCGTTTAATGCACGAGGCAACTGCAGAGGCTTTCCTTGTGTTGATATGACTATGTTCTCGCGCATATTCTCGAAGAACGGGTCGTGGCGAAATACGTCGAAATTGTTAATTATAGTTACATTCGTTAGCATTGTTCTCATGATTCGCGAGGCTCGGATGACCGGCTCAGAAGACAGCACAACGGTCTCGTTTTTCTCTCTACCGGGTTTGCCGGGGAGAATAGGACATGGAGTGAATGAGGAGGATTGGAGCGTGAGCAACACCATTCCTCATCCTGACGTCGTTGTCTGGGCTAAGGTTCGTCCTCAAAACTTGTTGGGAATGCACCAAAGAAATTTCCACGACTTTGACTGTTGTGCTTGAGAATGTGATGAGATAGTGTCTCCTGATTCTATTGGAATTTATACTTGTGCTTGCATTCATACGCTAACCAGTCCATCGCTTCTTCTCTTCCGATTCCAGGGTCTACTTCACGAGCGGCTCGAGGCGGTGTGTGCGGGATACGCGCTGCACCAGCTCTTATCGTCCAAGCTCTCCCCCGCCGAACCCAGCAGCTCCTCCCAAGACTCACAGGAATCTCAAAGAACAGAGGAAGTACAGCAAGCGCAGCAAGCTCCGTTACGGCTGGCCGTGCTGTGGCTGCCGGACGCAGGCATGCCGCACGCCGCACTCAACCACGTGCTGGGGCCGCTGCCTCGCCCCAGCGCGCTCTCCTCTCCGCAAGGCTCTCAGCAGCAAAACGATGGGCAACAGCAGCAGCAGCCGCAGCAGCAGCAGCAGCAGCAGCAGCAGCAGCAGAAGAAAGCGTCTTCCGGTGCAGCTGACTCGTCTGACGAGACTCTGGTGCTCCTGCATCACCCAAGTTGGCTCAACTCGCCGCTCTACACCTATGGGGTATGCTTTTCGAAACAGGCGCGTTGAAATGTGCAAGCGTGTGTTAATTGTTTTGTCTCCTTTCTTGGATTGATACGTGTGTGGGTGGGTGGTTTTATTTTTCCTTTGTGTTCACCACGTGTCTTCCGCCTGTTCGCTTCTCTTGCATGTCTCAACAGAACCTCGACTCGAAGATCCCTCAACCAAAATCTCAGGAGCAGATGCAGCAGCAGCAAGAGCAAGAGACTGGAAATTCTTCCTCCTCTTCCTCGTCATCCTCGTCCTCCTCCTCGTCCTCCCACCCTTCTCGCCGCCTGCACGTCAACTTCTTCCTCTCCGCCTCCCTCCCTCCCATGGCCGCCGCCCTTGCTGACGTGGACGGCTCCCAGCTCCACACTTCCCTCCAGCGCTGCTACAGTCTGCTACAGCCGTCCACAGCCGTGCAGGAGCTGATAGCCAAGGAGAACATGACACGTGTCCAGCAGAGCACAGCTGTGTACGTGGAACCAATCGCCCTCTCCCTCCCCTCCTCCTACCCTTGCTCTAGCTGTGACCCTAAATTCGCGGTTAACTGCACTACACGCCGCCTGATGTGGTTTTTTCTCGGGCAGCCCGAAGGCGATGCTACAGTCGTGGGTTTCTGGCCGTCTCAGGCTGTAGCCGTGGCAGAAACTTTCCACGAGAACCGTCAGCCGCATTTGCTAGAATCCACACGACGCCGTGCGCAGCAATGCGAGGGCGGTAACCGCAAAGCCAATGGTAACCACATGGGGGGTGGTAACCGCATCGGGGGTGGATACGCAGCTCCGCCTATTATTCCCCCTGGGCTGACTGTTAGGCAGCAGACGGCCAAGTGGATGTGGTGGCTTGGGCTGGCGGAGGGTAGAGACTACTACACCGCGGGCACAGGAGGGTTGAGTGGAGGAGCACAAAGGGAAGTGGGAGGAAAAGTGGGATTGGAAGGGGGAGGAGGAGGAGGAGCGAACGGGACAGGGGAGTCAGCTGGTGGCACGAGGCGGCTGCTTTTGTCTGATAGTCTAGAGAGTGGTAGTAGTAGCAGTTGGAGGAGGCGTAGGCTAGAAGTCACAGCATACCCAGAGCGAGAAGCAGGATCATTAGCATCCCTTCCATCATTATCAGCTGCAGCGGAAGCAGTATCAGCCGCAGCAGCAGCAGTTTCAGACGAAGGAGCAGCAGTATTAGACCGTGGAGCAGCAGTGTCAGGCGAAGCAGCAGTATCAGCCACAGATGAAGCAGCATCAGCCACAGCAGAAGCAGCATCAACCACAGCGGAAGCAGCATCAGATGAAGCAGCAGCATGGGTAGAGTGCGCACAACTAGAAGCAGCGGAGCTATTCACTATCTCATCCGCCCAGGGGCTCATTCACCTGCAGCACTCCCCCCAGGCGGACCTCATCCGCGCGCAGGCCTCCGCCAGGGGCAGCTCCCCCCGCATGCGCGACGTGCTGGTCGCCCCTGAGAGCTTCCCGCGGGGGGAAACGCCACTGGGAATCGGGGGGGATAGGCGGAGTGCGGGGAAGGAGGGTGGAGAGGGGAGTGGGGGAGGAGAGGGGAGAGTGTTTGAGGAGGAGAGGGGGTTGTGTGATGCGCCGAGGATACTGCCTGTCACGGAGCACCGCATTGGAAGGCAACTCATCGTTGATGGTACGTTGCCCTACCAAGCCCAGTTGTGAATGGTATGTTGCCCTGTCAAACCTCCCTTCCTCACTGCTGCTGCGCTGTGTGATGCGCCAAGGACACTGCCTGTTACAGAGCACCGCATAGGAAGGCAACTCATCGTTGATGGTACGTTGCCCTGCCGAGCCTGGTTGTGGATAGTATGTTGCCCTGTCAACCCTCCCTTCCTCACTGCTGCTGCGCTGTGTGATGCGCCAAGGACACTGCCTGTTACAGAGCACCGCATTGGAAGGCAACTCATCGTTGATGGTACGTTGCCCTGCCGAGTCTGGTTGTGGATAGTATGTTGCCCTGTCAACCCTCCCTTCCTCACTGTTGGCTCTGTGATGCGCCAAGGATACTGCCTGTTACGGAGCACCGCATTGGAAGGCAACTCATTGTGGATGGTATGTGGCTGGCCCTGCCAAACCTGGTTGTGGATTGTACGTTGCCCTGCCAAGCCCGGTTGTGGATGGTATGTGGCTGGCCCTGCCAAACCTGGTTGTGGATTGTACGTTGCCCTGCCAAGCCCGGTTGTGGATGGTATGTGGCTGGCCCTGCCAAACCTCCTTCTTCACTACTGAATTCTGCCTTTCTTCCCACCAGGGAGAGGGGGGAGTACTGCTACGTGCAGAAGGCAGGGTGCACGAGTTGGAAGTTCCGACCTAGGGATTTTCTAGTGCACCTGCCCTACTTCTTCGCCTCACTTCATTCCTCCGTTCCCTCCTCTCTGCTCCCCTCCCCTCCCCCACCAGAGGACGTGGGCATGGTGTATTGCTACGTGCAGAAGGCAGGGTGCACGAGCTGGAAGGCTTGGCTTCGTTTCTGGTGGAGGGAGCACTTTCCAGTTGCTTTACCTCCTCGTTTCCTTCCCTTCCCCTCCTTCCCGTCCCCTCCTCTCGCTCCACCAGAGGACGTGGGCATGGTGTATTGCTACGTGCAGAAGGCGGGGTGCACCAGCTGGAAGCTTCCTTGTGCCCTCCTCCACTCCCTGAGATTTCATTCTTTCCCCTTCCTCGTCCTCTTCCCTCCCTTCTCCTCACCAGAGGACGTGGGCATGGTGTATTGCTACGTGCAGAAGGCAGGGTGTACCAGCTGGAAGTTCTGGCTGCGCGAGCAGCACCACCACCCCTTCCCCAAGTCCTTCCTCTCAGCCCACACCGCCCATTTCACCAACGTCAGTGCCGTCTGGTACTCTCTAACCGAGCCACACGCCATACGCTCCCTCACCCGCCGGGACTTCACTCGCTTCGTGTTTCTTCGGAACCCATACACCCGCGTTCTGTCGGCGTATCTAGACAAGATGCTTCGTGGGGGCGGCCCGGACGATCTCGGGGCAGGGTTCTGGGCGCAGGCTTTTTTCGGGCAGCTGATCACGCACTCTTTATGGGATGCTGTGACGTTGCGGTCAGGCCCGGGAACTGCCCGGCTGCGGAGTATCTGGGAGGTGATTCAGCTGCGGACGGGGTTTCGAATCACTTTTGATGAATTCGTGGATTTTCTGGGAGAGGCGTGGGAGATAGAGAGTCGATTCCACCTGGATGTTCACATAGTGCCGCAGACTCTACTGTGTGCTTTGGACCGGATAAAGTATGACTTTGTGGGGAGGTTTGAGAGCATGGATGAAGATGTGATGACGCTGATGCTGCGGTTCGGGAGGGAGCCTGGCGATGCGTTCAGCTTTGGGAAGAAGCTTCAGAAGACCAAGTCCCGGGGCCGCATGAGCGATGCCTTCGCCAATAAGGTATGCTGCTGAGTGATGCGTTTGCCAGGTATGCCCTTGGTTACCGGGTAGACAGGGAAGTGCATTGGACCGGAGCAAGTATGACAGGTTTGAGAGCATGGATGAGGATGTGATGACGCTGATGAGGCGGTTTGGGAGGGAGCCTGGAGATGCGTTCAGCTTTGGAAAGAAGCTTCAGAAGACCAAGTCCCGGGGCCGCTTGAGCGACGCGTTCGCCAATAAGGTGCGCTGATGGTCGCATGGCAGAGACCTTTTGTGTGTGTTGTAGGTTCACTGCACTTTTTTCTCGAGTTGACTGGGTTCCCTGGACAGCCAAGTCCAGGGGCTGCATGAGCGAATGCTTGCCAGTGAGTTATGCTGGTGGGCACAAGGCAAAGACAGACTCCTGTCATCCAGAGATTTCTCCAGTAAGGTATGCTGTTGGTTGCCAGGTGGGCGGGGCTGCCTAAGTGAGAATCACTCTGGTTTGAGACCTCTTATCTCAAATCCTTGTTCAGGGGCTGCAAAAGAGATTCGTTCACCAGTAAGGTACGTTGTTGGTTGCCAGGCAGGCAGGGGTACCCTGTCCATGTATGTGAGAATAGCTTGGTCTGGGGGCCTCTCAAATTAAGTCCAGGAGTGGCATGGGGGATTCATTAGCCAGGAAGGTATGCTTGTTTCAACTTAATTGCCTGCAAGGCAAGGATACAGTGCACCCTGTGTGTGTGTGCCATCGTAAATCTGCGATTTCGTATGTCTGTCAATTTCTCTTGCCTTCTTACCTGCCGTTTTAGTACCCTCAAGGCCTCACCTCCCCTCTGCCCCCCCTTCCCCTCCTACCCGTTTGTCATCCACATCAGAAAACCTTTGACACGGTCAGTCATGTCTACAGTCTCGATCTAAACAACACCCTAAATGACATCATATATGAACCACCAGATGAGCTGAAGGAGTTGTATGGGAGCAGGACATAGGATTGTGCTCCGATGCAAGTGTATCTATCTTGACTGCTTTCGCTCGGATATGAGCGGGGGCGTTTGATTTGGGTAAAACCCTGCATCTAATCAAGGCGTGGCTGGTCGAGCTTCTGCTTATACAGCTTCAACATCCGTAGAAGTTTGCCGATTCCTTTTAGAAGCTGAACAGACAAGGGCAAGGAGATTACTAGAATATGTAACAGCTTTGAGCTTCCAAAATGATTCCAACATTTTCCTACGCCCTAAAACGGGGGTTCTTCAAAAGAGAACCCTTCTCTGTGGTAACATCGGGTCGGGATCTCCAACAATCAAGTGCATCCTGGTTTCCCAAATGCCAAGTGTGCTTCTTCCACAGACTTATGAAAAACGCGGATTCCATTTTCCGTTTTCCTAATCAGTCCTCGAGAAGTCCGCCCTGCGCTGAGGCCTGGCGCGTTTCGCGCCAGGGTAGCATCACGCGGATGAGGAATCCTAGGGATTTGAAAACGAGGTCGTGCGAAAGGATGAGGCTCCTTGATAATCGAACACGTGTCCGATGAGAAATGGAGTTGAGATTGCGGATCCTCCTTTTCAACGGTCACCACAATGACGACCCGACCACTTCAGAATCTCCATTCCGTTGAAAACGCGTTGCAGCAAGAGCTTCTAATTGAGCTTGCCGAATCGGCATTGCACTGCAGATGTATTACACATAGGCCATTCTTTGTCCTGTGCAGGCTATACTGGAATTCCAGTTCCGCGCACACCTTTTAAGTGTATTCTAATCAGAATTCCAGCTCGCCAACGCGGTTCTCTAATCGAGTCGGCAGTCGAGAAGATATTTCTCTCTTCGATTCCCAATTGAAGTCCGTAGCTTGCGATTAGTAGCGTGCGAGCCAGCTGACGCCATGACGCCAGCTAATTCGGCTTCCGCAGTTGTCGCTTCCCCCAGCTGTAGCCATCGATCGAGCGTCCTCCTGTCGACACCTCCGTGGCTTACAACTAGCTCTACGGCACGGGAAACCCGGTGCTCTCGATTAGAAGCGTGCATGCCGGTAGGTCGATGCGAGTTACAGCGAGAGTTTCAGTTGAGCAAACGAGGTCACACCGACCACACTTATCGCACCTACTGCACCGTCAGAACCGGCTGGCACTGTCGTCCTTCGGTCAGACCTGACGTCAACCGTCCCATTAGCCGGTCGTCAGAAAGCCTTCTTCCTGACCGTACGGTCTGTAATCGGTCGAGGTTTCCTTATTGGACGAAGTTTCCTCGTGCGGGAAGCGGAAATGGACGGAGCTCCCAATCTCGACTCGAAGTTTTTCGTTTACGAGATTCTCGAGTACAACATGGCGGGGGGGCTCACGTGCGTGCGCCTGCATGCAGCCACGTTGCGCTCTCTCCGCTCGCTTCACGCACCTGGCCTCCGGATTCCGTGCCGGAAGAGTGCATAGAAGGGCGGCATGCCTGCATCTCCGTTGCATCGCTGGTTTTTGTTCCCCGGAAGCTCACGGGAAGGTTCCTGACGCGCGTCGGGATGTATCGAGCGCCAGGGTCGGTCTTGATGCTTCTCAATCGCTTCTCAAATGTGACCGTGGATCTGCTTTGGTTGGAGGCTGTCGATGCGGTCCGGGCGAGTCTGTTGAATCAACCCATTGATCAATATGCGCCATTGCGTCTTGCCTCTTGCACATTGCCTCTTGCGTCTGTTGGACTCTTTCTATTAGCATCGAGCTCTTACCGTCATTCGTCTGTGGTCGAGAACCAATCCGAGGTGAAAGAATTCAGACAGAGCCCCTCCCTCGTTCAATCATTCATCGGTTCCCCGAGGTCCTTCAAGGTTTCCCGAGGTTCACCTTGATCCCTCGAGGTTCCTCAAGCCAGCGGCCGTGCGTCCGTCTTGAGCAAGTCATTGCTGAGTGAGAGGCAGTGGGCCGCGTCTGTGCTGCACGTGATGAGCCAACTGCCTTTGCACATTTCTACAGCCGTTTAGGTGCCAGTCTCGGGCCTCGGAACTCACATTTCCTCGCTTCGTTCAGTTTATTCCCGTTGTCGATCCCTCAGTCCCGTTTGCCAGCCTCAGCCGTCCTCGTTCTGCCTCAGCCGCTCCTCGTCTTGTCTCTGCCGTCCCTCGTGCAACGTATCTCGGGCCTCCGTCCCTCCCTCGTTGCCTATTCTGGGAGTGTCCGTAAGTTTTTCCTGTCTCAGGCACGCTCGCAGAGGGAGGTGCTGTTGTATTTCACTGCCTCCTCTCGGGGAAAGAGCATCTGGCGGTTGGTGATAGGAGTGTTTCAGTTCCAGTCATTCATGGAAGCAGGGGAGGCCAGGAAGGGTAAGGGCCCTAGTGTGGCTGCTGGTGGTGTTGATGGTGGTGGCGATGGTGGTTATGTGCTTGGAAGTGACCATGCGTTTAGCTCTACTCTTTCTGAGATGACGGCTGGTCCGCCAGCTTGTGGGAGGGAACACAACCACCACAACCACAACCACAACCACCAGAGCGTTGAGAGTATATTCGATGAACCTAGCGTTATTCTGGGAGAAACTACTACTACCAACACCAACGGCCATGCTGTCAACATTAACGGCTGTGCTGACAACACTAACGGCCACGCTGGCAACATCAACGGCTGTGCTGACAAGACCAACGGCCATGCTGACTCTGCTCTGCTGGTAGGGGCGTCTGTGAATGGCTCACAGAGGGATGCTATCCGCCTGCTCATTCAACCTGCTGTAGGCCTGCCTCCTGGCTGTCTTGAGCTGAGTCAGGCTGGTTTGGCGGCGGTGGTTGGAGAGATTGAAGGGAATCTGCATGGGAGAGAGAGCAGCTGCAGCTGTGACGAGCCTGCGGAGCAGCAGCAGGTGGAAGGGGGTGGAGCGGGAGTGGAGGGAGGAGCAGCAGGAGGGGAGAACTGTGGAGGTGGATATGGCTTGGGAAGAGCAGACACCCTGGGTGGAAGAGGGCGAGGGATTGGAGGTGGAGGAGGAGACACAGGGAGAGATGGTGCGAGTTCACTTGGTGGCGGTGGGGAGGCAGACGATCAAAGGGTGTTGGCTCAGCCGCCACTCCATATTCTGCAGTCCGTGCGACCCGAGCCTCTCAACGGCTATAATGACCAGGGTGAGTGCGTTTCAGGGTAAAAGTAGTTGCCTTGCAAAAAGTTGCGGATTGGCAACTCCCTCATGCCCTCTCAAAACCAGTTTGTGACGTTTTGTCTGCCTTGTCTTAAAAGCTTGCTGCGCCAAATTGGTGGTAGCGCTCATGCCCTCTCAAGTTCCAACTCCTTCCCCCTGTACCACAGGCCAGGAGGGGCCAGCTGTCAGCATGGCTCCTGTGATCCACGGCATGCTGCTGGCACATCCAACGGCTGAGAAGCCTCAGGAGCTGGAGTGGGACGATCTGATCGGTCGGATCGAGGCGGAGATTGAGAAGCCCCAAGCGAGCTCATGCGTTGATGGCGAATCATCTTCGATTGCTAGGCAGGACAGCCAGATGTAAGATAAGGGGCCTTGAGACGAAGAGGGGGTTATGACTAAGAGGGTGTTTGAGACTAAGAGAGGGCTTGACTTACAATGGGCTCTCTGCAAACCACTTGAGATCTGATTCCTGCCGCTTTTTTGCATGTGGATCCTTGATAACACCGTTTTCTCCCTCCCCTTCCCGTTCCTACTCCCCGCTATCCCCCAACGGCCTTCAGAGTGACAAGCAGTGAAGGAGTGGTCCCTCCAAGCGATTCTGCAGCTCTCAAACGCGGTATGCACCAGTCTTGTCTCTTGCGGATGCTCTTTTTGAGGCGTCTGAAACGTACACCACTCTTATCGTGATTAATAATTGTGCGGTCGCAGAAGCGCTAGCAATTGCGCCTGCCAACGCCAGTACTAATCCCTTGGAGAATTGTAAATATATACCTCCCGGTGCTTTAGAGGTTCACCCAGTTTTTTGCATGCTATACTCTGGTGAGTGAGCTGCGCTGTGAGAGGTAGCTGGCAGTTAGAGGGGTAGTATGAGATGTGGTGTATGTGGGGCAGCAGTGGTGCAGAGCCAAGCCAACAGCATGTCGATCTTCAGAGGGGTGACTCATCACTGCCGCACAGGGCGGTGGGAGGCCCACATCTGGTGAGTGAAGTTGCTCTCATTTCATCCGGTATGGAGATGAGGTACAGCAGTGGTGCAGAGCCAAGCCAACAGCATGTCGATCTTTAGAGGGGTGACTCACCACTGCCGCACAGGGCGGTGGGAGGCTCACATCCGGTGAGCTCTGTCTGTGTGGCAAGGTTAAGCAAGGTCACCTGAATGCATTCACACATGTGGGTGGCTTGCATGGGTGGTTAATGGCACGTCCAAGTCCAGAGGCTTGGTCTTCCGACTGCTTCAATTTCTTGTGTGTTTCCTGTGAATTGGCCATGTGGGAATGTGGGCAGGGAGGAAGGGCGGCAGGTGTATCTGGGAGGATTTGATTCTGAGAAGCAGGCAGCGCTGATGTATGACATAGCTGCACTCAAGATGAGGTGAGGTGTCCTGACACGTGCTGACACGTGCTGACGTGCAGACACGTGCTGACATGTTCTGTCACATACTGCGATCACGCGTTCTCATGCCGCACTGTGTGTAATGTGTGCAGGGGCGAGGACGCACAGACAAACCTACCGCCTGAGGAGTATACCAAGTACACCAAGGAGATAGGTGAGTCTGTTTCCTGGGTCATCTCAGCATCTTGCTCCCTGTCACCACACCACAGGCGGTTTGGAAAGAGGAGCTCATTCTGACCCTGCTGCAGCTCCAATGACAATCTGAAGAACAACCTTCTTTCCCTGCTATTCATCCTTCCCCCTGCCCCTCATATCATATCAATCCACACCAGAGGCTGTCCCAAAGGAGGAGCTAATTCTGCTTCTGCGGCGTCATAGCAAGGGCTTTGCTCGAGGAACCTCTAAGTATAGAGGGGTGACCAAACACCAGAAGGTACGGCGAGGGGCACCTGGGTGTCAATACTTTAGGGCAGGAAGTAAAGCGAGGTAAAATGGTTTTCGAGTCGACTTAAAAGTGAGCTGACGGGATGGTGGGTAGAAAGCAGCAGAAGATTGCGAGGGAGAAGCCACCAAAGGGGAGGAAGCGTGGAGTGCAAGAAGCATGAGAACCTGGGACTGCTTGTTACGAGTCTCGAGCTGCAGGAGCTCATACATGTTACAGCATGTTTCAGACCTCGCCCCTCGCTCTCTTCCTGTTTCCCCTTCTCGCCCACTTTTTCTCTCAATCTCAGGGTCGGTGGGAGGCTAGGATAGGGCATGTTGAGGGGAAACGATACGACTACCTGGGGTTGTTCGACACTCAGGAGCAAGCTGCCATGGCTTACGACAGGGCTGCTGTGAGGTGAGACTCTCTCAGTGGCAACCATGCTCTCATACGCTGCTGATGAGAGGTTGTACCTGGGGTAGAGAGCTACCTGGGACTTTTTGACACTCAGGAACAAGCTGCCATGGCTTATGACAGGGCTGCTGTGAGGTGAGACAGATAAGAGGTTGCACCTGGGGCAGGGCTACCTGGGGCTGTTTGACACACAGGAGCAGGCTGCCATGGCGGCGTATCACAGGGCTGCTGTGAGGTGAGACAGATAAGAGGTTGCACCTGGGGCAGGGCTATCTGGGTTTGTTTGACACTCAGGAGCAGGCTGCAATGGCCTACGACAGGGCTGCTGTCAGGTGAGCGTGTTTCAGTCATGGTCAATCATGTACTAGAGAACTTGTCCTAGAGGGACTTGAGGTTGCATGCAAGCAACACGGTTACATGGGACTGTTTGACACGCAGGAATGAGCTGCTATGGCGTATGACAGGGCTGCTGTGAGGTGAGTGGTTTCCCGTCACTGCCAACCACGTGCCGTCTATTAAGTCACTGAAGTGAAATCTGACTGTTATGCCCTACTCACCACGTCGCTGCTCCTCCCCCCTCTCTATTCCTCCCTGTCACTGCGATGGTTGATTTGCAGGCAGAGGGGCCAGCAGGCAGTCACTGTGAAGTGGCTTCTGGGAATGTAAATGTTATGCCCTCCTCACCTACTCTCCTATCCTTTCCCCCCTCTATTTCTCCCTGTGCTGCGATGGTTGATTTGCAGGCAGAGGGGGCAGCAGGCAGTCACCAACTTTGATCTGGCCATGGTAAGTGTGTCTTGCATGTGCCTTAGGTATGCGACTTTAGCATCTGTGTTAAGCATGCTTTTACTCAAGCATTGCGAAAGTATGAGCACGCTAGCAGGCAGTCACCAACTTTGATCTGGCCATGGTAAGTGTGTCTCAGGCATGTGCTATGGGCAAGTGTCTTGAGTGGGCTCATGTCACAAGGGTTTCTTCTAAACAAACCCGTTTTTTCTCGTTTAATTCCTGGCTGTCACAGTACGTGGATGACATTCGCGAGTTCAACCTCATGCCAGTTTGGCACAGCGCCTGCAGCAGCAGCACATGCGTCTGAGCTCACTTATTGAAAAGCCTTTGTGTTCTCCATTTCTTCTCGTGTGTTGCCTTTGCTCTCACAGTACGCAGATGACATTCGCGAGTTCAACCTCATGGCAGTGTGGCACATGCTTCTGAGCGGCTGAGCTGCCTTGTTGAAAAGCTTGTTTCTTCTTCTCCATTTCTTCTTGTGTGTTTCTCTTGTGCACAGTATGCGGAAGAAATCCGTGAGTTCAACCTTATGGCACAGCACCTACAGCAGCAGAGGGCAATCCAAGCGCATTCCACCGTTCTCCACCACACAACCAGCGCTTTCGAGCCGGGAACTTTCGATGCATCTCACCACACAAGCAGCACTTACGAGCCGAGGAGCAGCGGGGTGGATCAGCAAAGGAGGGTGAATTCTGAGCCTAGCATTCGGTCTGGCTTGCTGTTCGTTCAGCAGCAGGAGGAGCCGCAGTGGCAGACGCGTCAGCAGACGCTGCAGCAGCAGCAGCAGCAGCAGCAGGAGCTGTTGCTGATGCAGCATCAGCAGTTTCAGATGCAGCAGCAGCAGCAGCAGCAGCAGCAGCAGCAGCAGCAGCAGCAGCAGCAGCAGCAACACCAACAACAGCAGCAGGAGCAGCAGCGGCAGGCGCAGCAGCAGCAGCAGCAGGCTCAGATGTTCCAAAGGCGCCAAAGCATGCAGTCTGAGCATCTGCAGCAGCAGCTGATGCTGCCGCCAGAGATGCACAATGGCTGGCACAACAACGGGCAGCAAAGCAATCAGCTGACACAACAAGAGCAGGAGCAGGAGCATGCAGGGTGGATGGATGGTCGCAAGAAGCCAAGACAGGCCGACCATACAACTCCGGCCGTTTTCCCTCGGACTAGGAGTGGCAGAGTCCTGCCAACCCTGCAGCCCCAGCCTTCTGCGATGGACATTGATGCAGGATTAGTACCTTCTCAAAACAAAAGTCCGGGCATCACCGCAACCACCAGTGGTCCCATAACTCCCTGCAGCAACACTACTGCTACAGCTGTTACAGCTGCTGCTGGTGCTGCTACATATGTTCGCTCTTCTGCTCCCCATCTCCCCCCTTTGGGTGTCGCTGCTTCCCTAGATGATTCCTTTCTCAGGCAGTATCCCCAGATTCCGCAGTTCCACCACCTCCCCTGGTCAGGTGCCTTGTCAGGTGCCTTGTCAGGTGATTGGTCAGGTGAATTCAACAGATCAAGCAGCGCTCTCGTGTCTGGTAGCACGGCGCCTTTGCTGTCCCACCGGTCCCTCCTGTCAGGTAGTGTCCTTCTGTCTCCCAGTAACCCTCCTCCTCCTGTTGCCGTCAAGAGTAAGTATACTGCTGCTGCTAGCAACACACTAGTACCTGCTGCTGCCAATGCTTTTCATGGCCTCAGCAGCAGTAGTAGCGGTAGTTTCCTGGCAGGTACCGACATCAGTTGCTCGTCCTGGTTGGCTGGCCTTGATCCTCCTCTCCAGATGCCAGCCAATCCGTACCTGCCACGTCACCTGAGCATGCAGCCACAGCGACAGCTCAGCATGCAGAGACAGCTGAGCTTGCAACAGCAACAGCAGCAGCAGTGTCAGCAGCAGCAGCAGAACACGTACCAAGCTATGATGTTGAATGGAGTGGGTGGGGGTGGGATGTCAGGTGGAATGGGGATGGACAGAAAGGGGAGCGGTGGGATGGCTGCAGTCGACCTCTCTGGGTTCACAGGTCGTGGTGGGTTCACTGCAGCTGGGCTTTCAGCCTTCACACCACCTGCTTCTAAGCTTGTACCTCCTGGTTCCGGCCTCACACCACCTACAGCGCTCACAGCACCTACAGGGCTGACAGTACCAGGTCCTGATGGAGGTGTAACCGCACATGGTGGTGGGATGGCTGGAGAAACTGGTGGGATGGCAGCAGGTGCTCTGCGTGAGCTGTCATGTCCCTCACAGGTGCTTGTGGCATCATCAGCAGGAGAAAGAGTAGCCATACCAGCACCACCCGGAGCAGCAGCCGCACCACCAGCAGCACCAGCAGCAACTGCAGCTGTTATGACTGCACCAGCGTCCATAGTTGCTGTTTCTGCTCCCACCGATCCCGCTTCTGCCCCTCATCCTGCTTCTCCTGGTCCCCCTGCTGCTCCTACCGCTCGTGCCACTCCTGCTGTTCCTAACGCTCCTGCTGCATTCCCCCCTCATCCCGCGTCCCCTGATGCACCTGCTGCTGTGGCGTTGGCACACGGGGAGGGGAAGGATTGGTGGATGGGAAATAACAACAGCAACGGCACATCTACAGCATCCCCTTTAGGTTCATCTCCGTTAGTGGCATCCCCTTTACAAGCCTCCCCGCTAGGATCCCCGACTGTTACAGTGCAGGCTGCGGCTGCTGCTGCTGCTAATGCTGCTGATGCCTCTGTTGCTGCTGTGGTTGAGTCAGAGAGCCAAGCCCTGACAGGCTGTGAAAGCAATGGGACCCTCCATGCTGGTGGCCATGCTGCAGAGGGGCGTGTTACAAACGGATGTGCTACAAACGGGCGTACCCATACAGGCAATGGCAAAGGGCAGCGGAGGGTGGACTCATTAGACTCAGCAGAAGTGAAGCACATATATGGGGCTATCACCCCTCTCTATCCCGGAAACACCAGCTGTCCCGCGCACGCTGCCGCCCCTCTCCATCCCGGAACAATCTTCCCTCTCTATCCCCAGCATAATTCCGACATCTCCTCTCACATACCTGGACCCTCGCCCTTCCCGGACCATACTCACCTTTCCGAGCCTAGCTTTGTCCGCTCCCAGTCCTCCCTCCCCCCCCCGTACAGTCACCCTAGCGCCCTCTCACGTGGCCTTTCCCTGTGCGATAAGCAGTCTGCATCGGCTGTTCACCACGCGCTGCTGGATCTCTTCGATCTGAACCACGGCTTATCGCGGTCTGAGCAGCACTTATCGCAGCTGCAGCATGACTTATCAAGGCCAGGGAACAACCTTTCACAGCCAGAAGAGGTTACCACCAATACTAAAATCATGGAGGATTGCCAACAAGCCGCTCCTCCCCATTCCCCGCCTCTCATTCCTCCCTTCCCTCCTCCTCCGTCCTCCCGCCTTGAGCGGTCTAGTAAAGTGAGCCTGGATTTGCTACTGCAGGAAAAGGTGTGACGCCTTGTGCTGCTGCTGCTGCTGCTGCTTCTGCTGCTGCTGCTGCTGCTGCTGCTGCCACGAGGGAGCATACCAGCGGTTGCTGCCATCGTCCCGCCTTGAGCGGTCTAGTAAAGTGAGCCTGGATTTGCTACTGCAGGAAAAGGTGTGACGCCTTGTGCTGCTGCTGCTGCTGCTGCTGCTGCTGCTGCTGCTGCTGCTGCCACGAGGGAGCATACCAGCGGTTGCTGCCATCGTCCCGCCTTGAGCGGTCTAGTAAAGTGAGCCTGGATCTGCTGCTGCAGAAGAAGGTGTAAGGGCTTGTAGTACTGTCGCAATTAAAGAACTTGCAAGCCCTTGCTGCTACTGCTGCTGCTGTTGCTGCTGCTGCTGCTGCTATCTCATCTGAAGGGCTGGAAGGCAATGAAAGGCTTTGATATTGAGTGTTTCAATGCAGCGCAGTGGAAGGCTGCGATGCCATCTCTAAGCTGTGCGCTGCGATGCCATCTCTAAGCTGTGCACTGTCATGCATGGCATTGCGGCCTTACCGTACATCGGCCCGTGTGTATGCACTGCTCGCCTGGTGTCCGCTGGGGATACATGGCAATGATGCTGCCCTCTTTAGGGCCGGTCTCTGTGTGCTTTCTTGATTACTCTAGATGTGTGAGTTATTGTGCTTTTTTTTTGGGTTGCGGAGCAACCTATTCAATCGACTGGACTTTTTTTTTTATTTTTCAAGGAATAAAAACTAATTTACAATAAAAATACTCGTACGTGCAGAAATTGACAATCTAAAATGATCGCTCCATAATGTATGGCACACCATACTTAGTTGGCTCATGGATGCGTATCTGGGCTTCATCTTAGCGCCAGCTACGTTACTCTATTGCAACGCAGAACTCAGGGACGTATGAGTTATAGGATTTTCAAGTTTTGAAGATCACACAAATTTGTAAAAAAATGAAAAAATACAAAGATCGAACAAAACGATCATTGCATGTCTGAACTACGCAGCGGAAGCATATTCACCAAATAGATTGGTCAATACATTTCACACCGGAAAAAAAAAAAGATATTTTCATCGCAACTGACGAATTTAAAATTTATACTACCGCTTCCCCAGCCTAGCATGGGGGGAAGTCGATAATATAAACATTGAAACTCTCTATAAAATGGAGCAATACAATCTGCACATTCCAATGAAAAGTCTACACCGACCAAGTCCAGCTGAAGGCTTCACTGTCATAGTGGTGCACCACTCAACCTTATTTGACGATGATCGGCAAGACCCCCATTGAAATGTGCAGACATGCATTACTGAAGCAATGAGATCAGCAGCATGAGAAGAAACCTCAAAGTATCAAACAATGCAAGCAAGTATACATATTTGAGATTAACAAAACAGCAAAACCAAGTAGATTATTCTGCCGTCTGCCTATAGATTGTTCTGCAATCACAAACCATGGAGAAGCAGGGAAGGATGAAGCAAACCAACAAAGAAAAACGAAAAGGAGGAGATTGCTTAAGGGTTAAAAGACAGAGGAACTAGAAAATTAAGGCAAAAGCAAGAGGGAAGGCGAGGAAGAGACAATGACGGGGATTACGATAAAAACGCGGAACCCGAGGATCTATAAGAGAAACAAAGCACTACAAGCAACAAAACAAAAATGAAGACAAGAAACAATGAAGGGAAATAGAAGAAACATGGAATTCAAGGGAGAATTACCTAAAAGAGAAGAAGAAAGTGATTCATACTCATACTAGGAGAATAATGGAAAGACATTTGGAAGAATGGGTAAGACGAAACGAAAAGTAGGTTAAAAAGGACTACAGGAACATATTGGTATAAAACACAATAAGATAACATAGCAATCAGAAACACGAAGAGTAGCGGAATGAATATGATAAGAAAAAAAGGAAGGAAAACTATAGAGAATGAAGGGAACACGAACGAAACAAACGAAGGGAAGGAGGAGGTTGAAAGTAAAAAAATTGCGAAGAAGCAAGGACGGAAAAAAATAAGAGAATTCTGTTGAGTAGTTTATTGCTAGGAAGAATGAAAGAATAAGAGTAAGATTAAGAATTATAACAAATTTCCAAACATGGAAGTGGAAAGAAACGACGCAGCAATATAAGAACATGGAGAAAACCAGCTTGGAAGTTATCTATTTAAAGACAAATGTATGGGAGGAAACAAAACGGTAGAACGAAACCAGGTAGGAAGACAAAAGGTAAAAAAGAGCTGTGTGGGAAGAAAGAATAGCGTAAGATACTAAGGATACTACAAATGCAGCGACAAGATGGATGGAGCCGCGAACGAGAGAGATCACTAGGTAATAGAAGTACTACGAACAAGGAAAGCAAGGGAACAAGGAGAAAATGGCGACTTACCAGGAATGACTCTATCACTCTGCTCTTGCGGTAACGCCTGAAGAACAATGGCGCCTCATAAACTGAGAAGAATAATCGTTTACAATGGTAAAAAGGAAGCGAATCTTAATCTTCTAAGAAGCATGAAGCAACACAAAACACTATCACACGATTTCAGTAGACTATATCTTGTTAGGGACATACCTGCTTCTGTTGACTAGACTACCTATCTTCAGTAGCAGGTGGAACGTGGAAGCAAGAACGAAAAGGAGATTTCGAAACCCTAGTTGGGTTCAACCTCGTCGCGCGTTCATAATAATGTACAAAGAAATGGCTCGTATCTTACAAGCTCGCTTGGCGTAGCTGTTTGCGTATAGAGTTGAGCAGTAAGATCGCCAGTTCGATACTCAGGTGCGTCCTAGCTGTCGCGGCAGATTTCTTTTGTTTCGTTTTAGAAACAAGATAGACAGATTCATTCATTTCCAAAAGAGAATTTGAAAGCTATATAACATAGAAATTGCAATCTTGTCACATCACTTATAAGCATTAAGAGGCAATTCTCAGGATTGTTAGAAATATTAAGACTTTGCAGTAACATACTCGAAAGAAACAAACAAAGCTCCGCAACCCTAAGACGATTTCGTCGACTCTTGTTTGTTTTTTGTGCATACTTTGTGTGATGTAGATCTGTCTATGCTCGCGTGTGGAATCAACAGATTCTCTTTTGTTGACTTGCTTAACCCTCTGCCGCACTCAGCTGAACATGTACGGTAAGACCTGAAATAAACTTTCAACCTGCCCTTACCATGCTACAGTACCACCTTGCAACGTGCCTCCTGTCAGAGGTCCACTGGTGATCCCCGATTGATCCTAGGGAAGAGTTACAGGCTCGTTGTCCTGGGGGGTTATGGGCGCACTGACCCGCTACTTAACTAAGCCCTTTTATCCCAATGGTCTAGTGGTTGGGATTCTGACATGGTATCAGAGCGAAGGTCACGGGTTCGAATCCCAGTATGTGCACTTCGGGCATCCCAGTGCGGGGGGGTGTCAGAGGTCCACTGGTGATCCCCGATTGATCGTAGGGAAGGGTTACAGGCTCGTTGTCCTGGGGGGTTATGGGCGCACTGACTCGCTACTTAACAAGCCCTTTTATCCCAATGGTCTAGTGGTTGGGATTCTGACACCTCCAACCATCACAACAGCTGCGCAAACGAACATTATTGTTTGCGTATTTACAAGCTTGTTCTATGCTTAGCTCCTGGGATCCTAGAAGCATGAACAACTGCAGCAGGCAAAATACGAGCGCTGCCCACCACAGTCCGTCCCTTGCGAATCGGCAAATTTTGGTTCCCTAATAGTCTATCATGGTAGTCAGGTAATCCATGTTGAGAAGCATGTGAACCATGTTGAGTCCCATGCTGTGACCCATGTCCCTCCTGGGATGCTGCCTTCCCTCCCATGCCTGCCTCTGACCTCTTTCTCGCCTCCGCCTTTGCCGCTTTCCGCAGCCTCTTCTTTGTAGCTTGCTCCTCCTGCCACCTGAACCCAGCACAGGCAAGGAACGTAGCAACTGAGGAGGATAAATGTTTCGAGGCGCCTCAAAACTAGGCTTGCTCCTCCTGCCATCTGAACCCGGCACAGGCAAGGAACAGAGCAATAGAGGAGGAAAAATGAGTGCTGGGAATGGTAGCAGCAGGGGCCGGTGGGTCCTGGCTGGGATTGGTAAGGCGCATGGATTGGAAACATGCATGAAAGGAGACGAAAGGTAAAAAATGCAAGGGAGTTACTGACATTTGCCGGATGACCTTGAAGGCCTCGATAGTGGCGTACGGCTGGCCTGTGAGCGGGTCTCGGTACCTGGAGAGTGCGAAGTGAGAGAAGGGGAAACGCCAAGAGGGGAACTGGCAACTGATGGAACTGTTACCCGTGACCTTGTGAGAGATTCTTAAGAATTCTCAAAAGGCTGCGATAGTGGTGTACGGCTGGCCTGTGAGTGGGTCTCGGTACCTGAAAAGTCAAAGTCACAACAGCAGCACATGATGGAAAATGGTTTGCTGGTAGGAGCACGGTGTTTTTGAGTATTCTCAAAAACACCCTGCAGCATCATGGTACCTGAAAAGTCAAGTCACAACAGCAGAACATGCCGGAAAATGGTTTGCTGGTAGGAGGATTGTTGGTGGAATAGCTCCCACAGCCGCAATGCTGAAAAAAGCTGTTCAGGTAATAGTAAAAAAAGAGAAAAAGAGCAGCAGTGACAGGTGGTGCAGCCAAGAGCAGTGGAGACTTACTTTGCTGGTAGACCTGTGATCACACATGTGGGCTTGGCAGGGTCTGCAAGAATAGGAAGGTGGAGAGAAAAGAGGCTCGGTAACATCAGAAAAGCAGCAAAACATGCACTCTTCAAATCTGATACGTGCAAAATTTTCACCACAATCTGTTGATAAAAAGCATCAAACAACAGATTGAGGACACATGTCAACGTTCGGGACAGCAGGCGCAGGGGCCCTAGTGGATACAATTGCAACAAGGCCTCTTATGAAAGCGAGTCTTGAGACCTCTCCGAACGAAACAAGGCCCGTCATCAATACATACAGGAAGGTGCCTTTGCGTTTATCTCTGGAGGAACAGCTACAACCTTGGTGAACTCAAGGGTGTTCTTCCCTGTGTAGGGGTTTAGTGAGCCAGAAGGAGAAAGGAGGGAGCGAGAAAAGGAGGGGAGCAGCGGAGTTGGACAGCCGAGGAACAGCCGCCACTTTGGTGAACTCGAGGGTACTGTGAAGGGGATTTTGCTGGGGAGAAGAGGAGGGGGAGGGGGGTGGTTGCAAGGAAATCAGAAATCGGAATTGCAGAAGAACAACCATATGATGATACCGGACATTGAATTCCTGGGATTTGATTTTATTCGATCGCACCGTCCTTGGAGTGGAATTGGATCTGCGGCCCGCCGAAGATTGCTTTCTCCACAATAAGCAAAGTTATAAGGTCTTGATGGTGAATGATATGATACGATCTGATTTGATCTCACCGTCCTTGGAGTGGAATCGGATCTGCGGCCCGCCAAAGATTGCCTTCTCCACTACGGCCTTCCGCTTCACCTCCTCCTCCCTTGCCAGCATCACTGCAAGGGCCTCCCGGTTCAGAATCTCTGCAAACCAAGAGCGTGAGGGCATACACAGGGGGGGCGTGTGAGGGGGTAGGGGGGGGGGGGGGGGGGGGGGGGGGGGGGGGGGTGAGAACCGGACAGCCTTCTGCTTCACTTCCTCCTCCCTCGCCAGCATCACTGCAAGGGCCTCCCGGTTCAGAATCTCTGCATCAGACCAAGCGAACAGGGTGGTTTTGGATATGAGAAGAAGAGGCCCCTATGAATCATGCATTTTCACTACGGCCTTCCCCTTCACCTCCTCCTCCCTCGCCAGCATCACCGCCAGTGCTTCCTGGTTCAGAATCTCTGCAACGGGCCTGATAGGGCACAAGGAGAGTGAGCAAGCGCGGACAACCGTGCACTCAACCTCACTGCAGTAACCGCGCCCTCCCTTGCTTGCACGCCTCGACACCTCTATAGCCCATCTCAAGCTCATATCAAAAGCCCTTAACTGCACCCCACCTGTCCCCACCCCCCGGAACCGCATCCCACCTGTCTGCGCTGCTTCCAGAAGCATCTCCTCCCGCGTCCACCGCCGCTCGCCTTCCTTCCTCTTCCTCACCGCCTTGGACACCCTCTCCCTCGCAGCCCTCAGAGCCCCTACAACGTTACCTGCGCTCAAGTAAAATGCCCAAGGCTGTGACCACTGCCCATCCCCCCGAACCGCACCGCACCCCCCTGAACCGCACTGTACCTGTCTGCGCTGCTTCCAGCAGCATCTCCTCCTGTGTCCACCGCCGCTCGCCCTCCTTCCTCTTCCTCACCGCCTTGGGCACCCCCTCCCTCGCAGCCCTCAGCATCTGCCTCTCCATGTCCCTCACCACCACCGCTGTCCTCCTAGATTTCCTCCTCTCCACCCTTCCTCCCTCCCTCCCTCCTCCCTCCCTCCCGCCTCCCTCTCTCCCTCCTCCCGCTCCCCAATTCTCTTCTGTCAAATCTACTGTGGCATCACCAATTAGCTCTTCTACCTCCTCTCCTGCCTCTCCCCACTCTCTCTCCTCTCCCCCACCTACCTCCTCCGCTTCCCGTTTCCCTCGCCCCACTCCCAGCAGAGCCAGCTCACGCCTCTGCCTACTCTTTCCTAAGCCACTCTTCTTCCCAGCTTTACTCTTCCCCTTCTCCCCCTCCGCCCCATCACCCGTCGCCTCCTCGCCAACCGTACACCCCGTTTTCCCCTTCTCTGTTGGAAGTTTCTTTCCTCCCGCGCCCTTCTTTCCTGTCTTCGTGGGTTTTTTTGGCTTCTTTTTTGTGCCTGGGGGCATGAGACGGCGCTTGGTGGGTCTGGTGGGGCAGGGGGGGCAGGTAAAACAGGCGAGGAGGGAATTAAGGAGGGTGCAAGAGGCCCTTCTTTGCTGTCTTAGTGGAGTGTTTCGGCTTCTTCTTGGTTCCTGGGGGCAGCAGGCGGCGCTTGGTGGGTCTGGTGGAGCAAGTGGAGCACGTGGGCAAGTGTAAAAGAGGATGAAGGTTACTAAGGCACAAGGACGTGCCAAACACGAGGAAAGAGATGAGGAAAACACGAGGACGTGCCAAACACGAGGAAAGACATGAGAAACGAGCGAGATAAGGAGACGAGGCAAGAGTGAGGAGACAGGGGAGAGGGGAAAGCCACCAAACCTCTCTTTCACTTCTGTGCCAGCTTCCTCCTCCTCATTGTCCGGTTCCTGCCATGCCATGCCAGGCACACACATGGGGGGCCAGAGGGAAAGAGACAAGAGACGAGAAATTAGCGACGAGAGAGAAGGGAAGGCAGACCTTTCTTTCACTTCTGTGCCAGCCTCCTCCTCCTCATTGTCCGGTTCCTGCCATGCCATGCACACACACGGCATGCCAAGGAGGTGAGACAAACGAGGTGTGATACTAGAGGTGTGCCTGAAAATGGTTTGTCTGTGAAAGGTATCAGAGACAGATCTGAGCACGAGATAGGGTACATGTTTGCATAGTCTGGTTGGCACAATAAAGGTATCAGAGACTTTTCTGATCACACGAGAAGACCATGACACAACAACTATGGTGGGCCTATTTTTGAGTCGACTCAAAAACATGTTTGCATAGTCTGGTTGGCACAATAAAGGTATCAGAGACTTTCCTGATCACACGAGAAAACCAGGACACAACATGATATATCATCACGCCCATCCTGCTTACGTCATCATCAAAGTCGCTGTCGAAAACGTCCTCCTCCACCTCGCCCTCCATTGCAAACTCCACATCCTCTGCCTCCTGTGGTCACATACATGTACATGTAGAAAAACAGGTACATCAATTTCACATCACACAATTAACGTCCTCCTCCTCCTCCACCTCCCCCTCCAATGCAAACTCCACATCCTCTGCCTCCTGCCATGCCATGCCATGCCATGCCATGCCATGCCAACCACACATGTGCAGGAGACATAGGATGCAAAAGGCAGGAATACGAAGTTACATATCTAAATGCCCTCCATCTCGCCCTCCAATGCAAACTCCACATCCTCTGCTTCCTGTGGGAAGCCAACATCACATACACACATGCAAAACAAGTACATGTCTTCCACACATTCAAAAAACGTCCTCCTCCACCTCGCCCTCCAATGCAAACTCCACATCCTCTGCCTCCTGTCATGCCATGCCATGCCATGCCATGCCATGCCATGCCAACCACACATGTGCAGGAGACATAGGATGCAAAGGGCAGGAATATGAATTTACATATCTAAGCGTCCTCCACCTCGCCCTCCATTGCAAACTCCACATCCTCTGCCTCCTGTGGTATCAAATCATACATACATGTAAAACAAATAAAAAAACATTTCCGCAGTCATACGTCTTCCATGTCGCCCTCCATCGCATACTCCACATCCTCTGCTTCCTGTGGTGTCATTGATTCATTATCATACATACATACATGTAAAACAAGTATACATGTTTCACACATTTAAACGTCGTCCATCTCGCCCTCGAGCGCATACTCTGCATCAACTGCCCCCTGTGGTGTCATTATCATACACACATGTAAAACAAGTACATGTTTTTCACATCATATATTTGACCGTCTTCCATCTCGCCCTCCATTACATACTCCATGTCCTCTGCCCCCTGCCATCAGCCATGCCAACATGCCATCCCCTAAACCCAGGGGATGTGAGAAGCAGGCACATAACAACTTTCACACATTCAGACGTCTTCCATCTCTCCCTCCATTGCACACTCTGCATCCTCTGCTTCCTGCCATGCCGTGCCATGCAAATGCACGTGCCTGTGCCGTGAAGTGTGGGGAAAAGGTGAGTGAGAATGAGGAGATGAAGGGGCTGATTGCTGGGGCGGATGCAGCATTCGAGATGAACAGTGTTATGAGAGACTGACCACACACACAGAAAGAGACAAACCACGCCAACACATCTGTTTACCCACCCTTACCAAGCTCATGATTGGTGATTCGAATCCAGGTCAGCAGGCTTACAGAGATCATGATTGGTACTTAAATCCAGGTCAGCAGGCCAGCTTACCTCCTGAAAAGCCTTCTGATTCCCAAACTCCTCATCTGCGTCTAGGTCCTCTCCCACCAGCTCTGACAGCTGATTGGCGCAGGCAGGAGCAGGTAGGAGCCGGTAGGAGGAAGACGAAACCCTAAGGTGAAAATTCAAACCCAGGTCAGTCAGCACACCCACTTACCTCCTGGAAGGCCTGTTGATTCCCAAACTCCTCATCTGCGTCTAGGTCCTCTCCCACCAGCTCTGACAGCTGATTGGCGCAGGCAGGAACAGGTAGGAGCAGGTAGGAGCAGGTAGGAGGAAGAGGAAACCTTGAAGTGAAAATGCAGATCCAGTTCAGTACACCCCCTTACCTCCTGAAACGCCTTTTGATTCCAAAACTCCTCATCCGCGTCTAGGTCCTCTCCCACCAGCTCCGACACGCTGATTGGCGCAGGAAAGGGGAAAGAGCAAACCACAGAAGAGTTCTTGAGAATATTCTTAAGCAACTCCTTTGAGAGGTCCCAAGGCAACTCCAATCGACCTCAGACATTAGGAATGAAGCACGTAGGGGGACAGGAGTGGTGGCATGAAGGAAAGGGGGAAGAAGAAGGGAGAGGGAAAGGAAAAGGCGCCACTTGAGAGGAAGATTAAGGGGTCAAGGAACGAATTTCTCATCTGCGCCTGTTAAATTCTCTTAGCGGACCCAACTACGAGCTAGTTGCTACCTCGTTACGGCAGTAAGCAGCCCACGTTGCTAACCTCTTCCCCCTGACGGCTCACCGTTTTCCGCGGGTGGACCGCGTGGGAAGGCAGACCCGTTCCGGCTCAGCCATGGCGCCACCCGCGCAGATAAGCCACGTTAGCAAACCTAGTGCGCGCAGAGGTTACGCGGGAAAACAACCCGTCCGCAAATGGTAGCACTAGTTCGCGCAAGCAGGAATGTTGTCTGCTAAGGAAAGCAATAATGTTCTCGTTGGGCTTGGTCGAAGACTGATTCACCAATCATCCAGAGCAATTCTGAAATGAAAAATTGGAATTCTACTTCCTCGTTACAAAAACCAAGTCATTCGGCCCTGCTTGTAAGGAAACTCGTTTTCCTCGCTATATAGATTCGCTAGTTCCTTTACTAATGGCCTGTAAGAAATTACTTAAAATGCTAGGACAATACTGAGCAGCTTACTCGTTATAGTCAGTGAAGAAGTTCTCGTTATTGAACAAACAATGACGTCCACTGGTCCTGCTTGGTTGGCAACGACGGCCAGTAATAATCGTCGTAGTCGATCTTCTGTGCGGTGCGAGTACGACCAATGCCACCCACTCGACTTCGCGGCGATCTGTTGTTATGGTTCATAGGTTTGGAAATGTCGGCGCTGTGGCATCTCAAGCCAGATACAGTTTCCACAGGTATGGCAGCCAATCAGGGTCGCTTGTTGACATCATGGACTCGTGTTTTGTGTGGTCCCGTCCAGACCATACCAGGCCACGACCCCAGGTGTGAACTTTCGCTTAGTTATCGAGTCAGGCAAGGCACCCATAATCACTGGAGAAAAACTGCCCGCGGATTGGCTTGATTCAGCTCATCCAATTGGGCTTGCTTTCTTGTCATGCCGAACCTGAAACAGCCACAAAACAAGCCTTGTCATCGGAGGTTGCAGCAGCGAGACGACATTTCCGAGGTTGATTCCTCGATTTTTTATTGCATCCGAACCAACCTAGATTCCTGCTGTGCAGCTGCTGCTGACCCAACCATGCTTCCTCTGTGGTCCTCAGCTCTTCCCTGCTCCTCTGCTGCGCTGTCATCTGCTCGGCGTAGCACTGTGATCATGGGGACACTTCTTGTGGATGCTTCAAGTCGACTCTCTCCAATCTGCATTTGATAGTACTTTTGAGGTTTTCTTAGCCTTTTTTCTCTGCATTCTTGTTCTTCTCCCCTTCCAGCCGAAAGAATCCCCTTTCTGCGTCGGGGAGAAACAACTAGCAGGGATCCATAGCGTCTTGGCGGACCGAGGCTGGAGCGACCGCACTGCCGAACAGTGGCATTATTCGCCCAAACAGAATTCAGATCAGCACGATCAAAGCCGTACGGCTGGTTCTGATCCGTCAACGCATCAACATAGTTCCGTCCAATTCACTCATTTCGTTGATACCTTGCAGCTTTTCCCATTACTAGCGTGGATTACAAATTTTGAGGTAGTAGACTGAAGCATGGGTCGCGGAGCTCAGGGAGTCGCATCTGTGAGTCGTCGAGCGGTCAGCGATGCATCGGCTGCTGATGCGAAGAGCAGCAGCAACAAGAACAACAACAACAAGATCGCTCGAGCTCCATCTGTGAGTGTCCTTCTGGAATCTGTCCCATTTCGTTAGCCAGATCCATGAAGAACGTCAAGGGTGGTCATGGAACGGAAGTCCCATTCCGCTCGATGCCGTTTGACTCTGTCATAACAATCGGATCCCAATTCATCTCGACTGGCTCTTCCAAAACAGTTGACTGTTATAGTCTAAATTTGCTTGATCAATCCGAATTTCATCCCAATCATAGCCTAATAACCGCCTGTAAGACAGCTGATTAGCCGTCTTTCCATCTCCGTTACCTTCTTGCCACAGCTCCATACCAATCTCACACGCATTTCCATCGGTCTCCCTTCTTCCCTTTCGCCGCCAGGCAAAGCCCCCCTTCACCCTGGGTGACCTGCGCCGAGCCATCCCCCCCCACTGCTTCCAGCGCTCCACCCTCCGCTCCTTTTCCTACCTCCTCATCGATCTCGCCTTCGCCGCCTTATTCCTCTACGCCACCACGCGCTTCGACGACATCCACCAACTCGTAGATCCGGCCGTTGAACCGCTCCTCCCGGCGCATCTCCAGCCGTACGTTCGGCCGGCGGTGACGGTGATCCTGTGGGGGCTGTACACGTGGCTGCAGGGGTGCGTGTGCACGGGGCTGTGGGTGATCGCGCACGAGTGCGGCCATGGCGCGTTTTCGGACTACGCGTTTGTGAACGACACGGTCGGCATGGTGGTGCACTCGTGGCTGCTCGTGCCCTACTTCTCATGGTGAGCCCGAAGTCGATTCGAGTCACACTGCTCGTACGTTGCTTCTCCTGGTGGTTCTTGGATTTTGAGTGTCAGGACGAACTGTGTAACACACTTAGGCGAGGACTCGTACCTATTCTGAATGAGTGGAAGTTAACGAAACCAACTACGTTGAGAATTGCTCCTAATCGTACCTCCGCGACTGATCCTTCCCCTTTCTTCCGGATTCAAACATGTTAACACTTCATTACAATCTCACACAAACATCTCCTAACCGCTTCCCCAGCCCCACCAACACCTCCCGCTCCATCAACTCCTTTGTCATTTTTCTCATTGCAACAGCTGACCAGCTAACTCCCACTGCTACCTCTTGTTACAAACTCAAGATGCTGATTCTCACCATTCGCTTCCTCTCCCTCTCCTGAGGAGGTCCAGTCCTGAACGCCCACCCTCCCCTCTCCGCCTTCCCTTTCGTTGTGCAGGAAGTATAGCCACCGCCGGTACCACAGCAACTGAACACCCACCACCCTCTTCCTCTTCCCCCTCCTCCCCTTTTTCCCTCCCCCTTCCCTCCCCCGTGGATTTCGATTGAGCAGGAAGTACAGCCACCGCCGCCACCACAGCAACACGGGCAGTCTGGAGAACGACGAGGTACGTGACAATTGGTATTAAGTGCCTGCATGAGGTGGCAACGTGTGACAATTAGGTTTTGACGGTTTGAGGTAACATAAGATGGTTCGAGATCAACTTAGAATCATCGTTCTCAAAGCCAGACCCAGGTTACCGTTTGGTAACCTGTGATGAGACGTTTCAGATTTCCATCTCTCGCTAGACTGATTCTAAAAGAAATATCTAGCGCATTTTTGTTTTCCACGACAGTGCCCACACGCAGGGAAGAGCTGATTCCAGTCACGAAGTTCCTGCAACACCCCTTTGTGTCTCCAGCACCCCTTTCCACCCTTATATTAACTCTTACCGTCATTCCCCTTCACGCTCACGGCGGGTGTTTGTGCTGGCGGGCAGGGAGCAGCTGGGGGCCGTGTCAGAGTACCTGCAGCACCCCTTTGGGCGCGTGTACCTTATCCCACACTCCGGATTCTCTGTCCTGCCTCCTCCTCCCGCCTCCTCCTTTTTCCTCCCGCCTCCTCCCCGCGGCAGGTGTTTGTGCCGGCGCGGATGGAACAGCTGGGGGCAGTATTAGAGTACCTGCAGCACCCCTTTTCCAACCTATTATTGGTGTGTCTGGTCATTCCCCTTCACTCCTCCCGCCTCCTCCCCACGCCAGGTGTCTGTGCCGGCACGCAGGGAGCAGCTGGGGGCGGTCTCAGAGTATCTGCAGCACCCCTTGGGGCGTGTGTACCTTATCCCACACTCTGGATTCTCTGTCCTGCCTCCTCCTCTGCCCCTCCCGTTCTCTCCTCCTTCCTCCCCGCGCCAGGTGTTTGTGCCGGCGCGCAGGGATCAGCTGGGGCCAGTGTCGGAGTACCTGCAGCACCCCTTTGGCCGCGTGCACCTTATCCCACACTCTGGATTCTCTGTCCTGCCTCCTCTCCCCCTCCCGTTCTCTCCTCCTTCCTCCTCACGCCAGGTGTTTGTGCCGGCGCGCAGGGAGCAGCTGGGGGCAGCATCAGAGTACCTGCAGCACCCCTTGGGGCGCGTGCTCTCCATCCTTTCAACGTGTCGGGCCACCAGTACAAGGGCGCCCACGCCAACCACTTCAGCTTCAGCCCCTACTCATGGATTCCCGGCCCTCTCCCTCTTCTCACTTGCCCCTCCCTCTTCCGCCCTCCCTCTTACCCCTCCCCTCTCGCCTCCTCCTCACGCCAGGTGTTTGTGCCGGCGAGAAGGGAGCAGCTGGGGGCAGTGTCGGAGTACCTGCAGCACCCCTTTGGGCGCGTGCTCTCCATCTTCATCACGCTCACCCTCGGCTGGCCGCTCTACCTCGCCTTCAACGTGTCGGGCCACGAGTACAAGGGCGTAGCCAACCACTTCAGCCCCTACTCTGGGATTTTCTGCGATCGAGAGCGGTTCTGGGTGGTTGTGAGCGATCTGGGGCTGCTGGGAGTGCTCGGGTGTCTCTACTCCCTCGGCTCTGCCTATGGCCTCGCGTGGGTGCTCAAGGTACGGTTGGCTGTAGCAGGGCTGTAGCATAGCTATAGCAGGGCTGTAGCACAGCTGTAGCATGATTTAGCATGGTACTAGCGAATCAGGGAAGCTACAGAGAGTCCTCGGGTGTCTACACTCCCTGGGCTCTGCCTATGGCCTGGCGTGGGTGCTCAAGGTACGGATGAAGCATGGCTGTATGAGTCCGCAGTATCGCTCCTCGTCAGGTGTATGCACGTCCCCCGCCCCTCATAATGAGCTTGTACCTGCCTTAGTATCTCTGCTCCTTCCCCCCATTCTCCCCCATTCTCCCCCATTCTCCCCCATTCCCACCTGCTTCCAGGTGCATGTGAGCCTGTCTGTTCCTCGTGCTCATCACGCTGCCGCAGCACACACACACCCCCTTGCTATCTCTCTCCCTCCCTCCCCCACTCCCACTTGCCTCCCAGGTGTACGTGTGTCCTCTCCTCATTGTCAACATGTTCCTGGTGCTCATCACGCTGCTGCAGCACACGCACCCTGCCCTGCCTCACTATTTGTGCTCCTTACCCCTTCGTGCCCCCACTCCCACGTGATTCCCAGGTGTATGTCTGTCCGCTGCTGATAGTCAACATGTTTCTCGTACTCATCACACTGCTGCAGCACACGCAACCTGCCTTACTATCTCTGCCCCTCCCCCTTTGTTTCCCCCACCCTTGCT